AGCAGCAGACACCACAGGGACTACAATTATGACAGGCATTTCTGATACATTGTACATCTCACCACCCTTCAGAAGCCAGTGGTTCAAACTGAAAATAAAACTTGCACTTGGCCCAAACTGTGTTTCAGAAAACCCCCTCCATTAAACCTGAAACACTTTCCTTGCAAGGCTAGACTGCAAGAGAATTAGTAATTCCATGATCAATCAAAACCTTCTTTTGTTTCCCTTGTAAGTACAAATAAAATTAGATATCTTTCTAAATCAAATTCCCTCCAAAATATTTCATGCATTCAAATTTTTGACAGACATAATGATTAATTAAAGTGAACTACAGATTTGTTACAAAGTGGAATATTACAGCCTTAAGAAAACTTGGGGGTTATCAGTTTATGTTAAAAAGATAGCTGCCATCAAAAGATATCTGCATTAAAAAAAAAAAAAACCCAACCAAAGAAAAAACAGAGCCAAAACCCAAAATGCATTTGGTCTACAGTATTTTTAACTTCATGCAACAAAAGAGTTGCCACTCCTGGCTAAACAAGTGTCAAGAAGGGTATTATTAGAACAGCTTTAAAAATAAGAGGTCTTTGAGTTTAACAACTACAACAAAATATAAATGGGAATTAAGAAGCAAGACTGTAAGTCAGGAAAAAAAAAATCAGTACTAGACATTTTGTTCCCAACCAGTTTGTGGATATCCACAGAGATAAGAAACAAGCTTCCCAAGACATCACAACTTTCCAGAAGGAGCCACCACACTATTAAGCAAGTTTTGTGTAATCAAACAAGCTACCACAGGACAGAGCTGGTAATCCTATTCCCTTTTGGGAAAAACACCTTAAGTAGAAATCTCTACTATCCCCAGTAAACCTAAGTATTTCAAGGTTGTGTTCTAATGTTCGATCCACCTTGCCAGAAATAAATCATAAAAACCCTAAGGAAAAAAAAAGATGAGAGGTTACCAAAGTAATTGTCTTTTTTTTACACCTGGATCAACTTTCCCCCATCACTCCTGATGTATGTTTGCCTGTTGAGGTGACAGTCTATTAATGAACAGTCTATTAATGAGCTTATAAATAAGTTCAGAATGTCTATTTTCATGCTTCACTATTCCTAGTCATAAAGAACAACATCTCATGGTAACATGGAACCATCTCCTCTGCTACCACATAAACTCACTACTTCTGGCAGTAACCACCACAAGCCTGGCAAATGAGTTATTTGCATTCTTCTTTGCATCAGATTTGACAATTTCCATGTCTTTTTTCAACAACTTCAGATTTGACTGAGTCTTTCTTCAAAGCTCTGACCTTCCAGACTTTATATCACTGTTAGTATTCTGCTCTAGACTCCCCTCAGCCAGACCATGCATTTCTCAAAGCTGTGACCCAAAGTCAGACAGTATTAACCATGGCCTTCCCCATGCTATGTAAAAGAAACAATTATTTCACTTATCTTTTGAGATATACTACTGCAGAATAATAGCTACAAGATGCTTCACATCCAGCTCCACTTTAACTTGTCCTCACAATTAAATAGGATGTCATTCACTAACTATGAAGTTACTTCACTCACTGAATACTAATGCACAGAAACGTAATTGAGATTGAACATAAAATGTGTTCCCAAAACTACAAAAGCAATGAAGTAAAAAACCACTCATATGGTTTCAAGTTTCCAACTAAGTAGCATGCTTAATAGTAAACTCTTTAGAGAAACAGATACTCTAATACCCAGCACTATAGGTTCCTTAAATGTTACTGCAACAAAATCAACCCCACTTTTACTTCATGTACCTACATTACATTAGGAGAACCCATCACTTCATATTGTGAGGTTAGAGGTGCCTTTTCATTCTATCTTCATTTTATATATCTTTTCATCCATTCTCCATTTTACTCTTAAATCTGTTTCATAGGATTAAGGTTTCTAAATTTATAACTAATATTCATGCAGGATAAACTCCAGCATTGCTGCCTAGAAAACAACCACCCAGCAGCTCAGGCCCTCACTTCACAGCCTTCAGAGTAATTTTTGTCTTACAAAGAGCAGTTTAGGGTACAAAGCTCCGAGTACAGAAAATCCCATTTGAATTATTTAATATTGGTGTAAATAATCTCTAGCAACAAGAGCAGAACCTTTCCTCCCAGCTGTCACACACTCCTTACTATATCAACAACCCTGTAATGCTCTGAAAACCTTCCATCCAAACAATCTCTTGTCCTGAGAACTCATGCTGGGGAAAAAGCCAACCTCTGTGCCTGCGGAGGCCAGCTCGCATCCGAGGCCTCCCAGCACCAGCAACCAAACAGGGAGTGGAAGAGGAACAAATTTCTTCTAAATGCACTCTTCCCAAATCCTTCTGTCCCCAAGAAGTAGCCATTTCCTGTATCTTTTTTTATGACTGTATGGACAACTACCCTAACCAACTCTGAATTTTAATATAGGGGGAAAAAAGATTTAGCAATACTCATCATTAGAAGATTTTTAGTAACAGCACTTTAGCTACCAAAGCAACTTTTAAAGATAAAAATTCACTATTTGACTAAGAGCTGGTCATTAATTGAACAACATGGCTTAAATTTGTTTTCCAAAGCCCCAGCCCTGGAAAACTCATAAGGGACAGTGAAGTAGCTGTAACCAACACAGGGCACTCGATTACAATCTCAATGCAGAACATCTTGTTTACCTGAGGGCTCTAATATACAAGTAAGGTGTGTAAGATGACTTCAACATCTGTCACAAATTCTTGTCTGCTCCCCCTTTAAAAGCAGAAGCTGAGTGCAGGACTGAAGGTCTGCCTTCTGGAAATCAGGACTGCAATTCCCTAAAGGCTGTAGGAGCTGGAACCTTTTCAGGTATTGCCTTAAATAAGTAAGGTCATGCTCCTTGACAGGCTTCCACAGCAAGGTTACCTTTAAAGCCCCGGTTTACCTTGTCTTGAAACAATGAAACAAAACACTAGAACATGTACTTACATTACAGCCATGAGTCAGTTACAAGCTCTTCAGTATTTCTCTGACTTATGTCACTTTGAACTTGCCTTACACTTTAGGTTGGCTTGTTTTAGTATTAAGGATAGTTTCCATTTTAACTGTGTCAGCAATTTTTTGGGGTTGAACTTCATTAAGGTACAGGTTCAGGTGAAGTAATAGGTGCACTTATACAGTAAACAAAACATAATTACCTACAACTCGAGGAAGAACTAGTTAACTACAGAACAAAACCACATCAGAAAATAAAAACTCTACAACAACCAGCTCTGCCTTGAGACCCATGTGTTTCAGTATTTCCAATATAGAAGTTTGTTTTTAAATAATACAAGACTATCCCCCACACAGTTCCTAAATGCTTACACCTGTACTGACAAGCCATTAACCCTTCTGCTCAGCAGGTGTTCCTCATGCTGGACCACTTATCTCTGCCTCATCCAGGATGGAAGCAGCCACACTGTGTAATTTACCATTTGGTAATGGTAAATCTAATGACTGACACAGTATCAAACACTTTTGAAGTTCAAGTGACTTAAAGTAGTTTCACAAATACCCCCTTCAGTATGAAAATTGTTCTATAAAAAAATTCTTGCCTCCTGCCACTGCTTTTCCCTCTCTTCTCTCCTATACTTCAGTTTAAGCAGCTCAGTTGTATTGTGTTATTGCTTCAAGGGCCACAGTATAAACCAGTAATTGGATTAATTCCATATTTTTTTAAATGACAGAAATAACTGAGAAATTCAAAAGCTTTTTAGCCTCACTTTGCTGCTAAAAGCGTGCGTTTGTTAAAGCCCACTCTTCAGGTGTTTGGGTTTCTCAACCAGCTGAGAGTTTCTCCTTACTCAGGAAAGTTCAGACTGGACTGGCATTACTCAAGGTGTTTAATCACCATGCTGGGTAGGTGTAAAATAGATGTGTACTGCTGAATTTTGCATACCTTCAGCAAGAAAGTAAGTGAGGAACTCCTTCAGATGAGGGAATCAACCTCACATCTTGCCAACATCCATAGGGACGGACTCTTTCCCTACTTCTCCTTTCTGGCCATCCACCCAGCAGGAGCTCTAGCACTTCTCAAACTTCCCAACCCACTAATTCCACTATAATCCAGTACGCTATTAATAAATAAAATGGATAAATAAATCCCCCTCCCAATCTTTGGGGATTTGGGAATCAAACTGGACCCCTCGGGGAGCAGCTGGTCCAAGCCAGCTCATTTTCCCAGCTGGAGGCTGGAAAGGAGAGGCTCCCAGGTGGGCTGGGCTCCTTGCAGGGCCACAAGGCTGCTCACAGAGGAGAGGTTTCCCACCAACCGCTCAGATACTCCAGGGAAAGCTGAGCCGAAACACTCTCCAGCCGGTACGGCTGAGAACAAAACAGCAGAGCTTGTGGCATCTGTATTTACCTCCAGAACAGACTCGAGGCATGGCATCTGGCAGGTTGGTCTGCCTTGGATGCCTACAGTGCTCGAATCTGCGAAGCACCTTGTGTTGTTGCCGCACAGTTTATTCCCCCTTCCGAAAACATTTCAGAAGCGTTCGCAACTCACACTTCAGCCCCAGCAAAACAGGTAGTACCGCTCTCTCCCCGTGGGATTGGGAAGTTAAGTAATAAGCCCCAAAAACACAGGAAGTATGTAAGAGAGACACCGAGCAGAGGCCTGACATCCTCACTGCCTGCACGGTGCCCTGTCCGTTAACATTTCCTAAGACGCTTTGTGCAAAAAACCTCCACAAAAGGCACGTCCGCAGAGCGAACCGAGCCCAGCCTCGGCTTTAAAACGCATTTCGAGTGTTTCAAAGCCACCGGGGGGAACCGATGGCAAACCCCCGCACGGCACCTTGGCGGGACGCGGCATCCGCGGCGGCTCCGAGTGGGGCTCGCCCTCAGCCCGGCCGGGCCCCGCGCCCTCCGCGCCGCGGCCCCCGCTCCCTGCCCCCGCCGGCACGGGCCGCCCCCGGTACGGCCGGGCCCGAGCCCCGGGGACCGGCGGCCGCCGCGTGGCCTCACCTCCTCCGGGATGGCCGGGTCCCCGCTGCCGCCCCCCGCGTAGCCGGCGCCGAGCGCGGGCGGCTCGGGCTCCATGTCCCCGTTGAAGAGCGAGGCCCCCTCGGCGCTGCCGCCGCTGCTCAGCGCCGCCATCTTGGGCCGGAGCGGCGGGGCGAGGGCGGGGCCGGGGGCGGCCGCGTCCCCGCCACCGGGGCGGCCCCAGCCGCGACCCGTAGTGCGAGGGGCGGGCGGCGAGCGCGGTCCCGGCCCGCTCCCAGCGCCGCCGGCGCGTCACGGCCGGCCTCGTGACGTCACACAGAATCGCCGCGGCCACGGCGCATGGGCCCGCCTGACGTCACCGGGAAGCACCGTGACGTCACGGCGCGACCGCCCCGTCGCCCTGGGAACTCGGACGTGGGCTCGGCCCCGCCCCCTCCCCGCGCCCCGCCGCCGCACCGCCCCCTGGCGGCCTGGGAGCGCAATGGCAGCGCCGCCCCCGCCGGGCCGGTCCCTGGAGCGGGAATGCCGGGGCAGGAGGAGCCTCGCACACAGCCAGCTGCTGTACCGAGTTGAACACCGCTGCCGGGGACTCTGCGGGTCCTTCCCGGCAGCGGGGAAACCCGGGGTGCCGGTGGAATTCAAAGGAGAACGAAGGGGATGCCGGGCATCCCTCGGCGCACGGCAGCGCTGCGGCTCTGGGGTGAATCCTCCCCGACACGCAGCGTGCGGCAGCCCCAGGCTCGCTGAACACTGCCAGGGTCACCTGCGGGCTGTGCCCCCGGTGATAACTGCAATAATGGGTCCTGGGATCGATACCACAGCGTCGTTTCCCACTGACAGCCCCTCAGGCCTTGGCTGCCCCCGCTGTGCTGTGCTCACACAGCCGCTCCACGCCAGGGAAGGGTCGGCTCTGGCTCCGGATCTGCTCCGATGCCTGGCTCTGACACCGGGATCCCTTCTCGGGGACACCACTGCCGTGCCCCAGAGCTGCTCCCCCGTTCTGCCCGGTGCTATCGCTCCCTAGACTGGCCGAGTGTTCTCATCTCAAGTACAGCCTCGAGCTGTGTCTAATCCCTGTGTGCCACACCCATGGAAATGCTGTTTACACGCATGAAACACCTGCTAAATCAGGTGGTTTAAGCTGCTTTCCTGCTGAAAAGGTCTTAATTATAAATTAAAAAATGGCAACTATATTTGAGTGCATTGCAAAGATCGGCTGATGGACCAGAACAGCAGCAGGACTTGAGAGAAAGGCTGTTCTAACACAGCCTGGTGTATTTAATGGTAGCCAGCTAAAATACGCTAGGTTGAAAGCTGCAAGTGCAAGATCCTTATCTTTGTTTCACTTCAATAGTGAACGTGTAACCACACAAGCTCTGAGCGTATATTGCTGGTGAGAGAACTGAGGTTTGTATTTCACCTTTCACACTGCAGGCCATGGCTGTGGAAAAGCACTTCAAATGCAGTTCTATACTGGCAGTGTTGCAACTGGTAAATAAATGCAACTTCAATTTAATATTTCAATGGATTTTTAATTAATTTTTTCACAGGCTATGCTTGCTAAGAGAGGAGCTAGGGTTTGCTATGGCTGGAGCCCTGCAGTGCAGTCAACAGAAAGGCTGCACAAGTATGTAAGAACCAAATGCACAGACTAAGCAGTTGGCCAAGTTTAGAAGTTTCTCTCTAATAGCCACATTAATGAAGAGGATAATTATCAGCAAGTCCTGCTACGCAGCAGCAATGCGTAATGGTAGTGAAAAAAGGCTCACAAACTCTGGAAAATAACACCCATGCTAAGGACTGAACACTGGGACAAATCTCTCTGGTCTCTGAAGGTAAAGGCAGCAGAGGTAATGGGAGATAGCTCTCCCAGCACATAGCCTGTTGTGGAAAAGCCAACAGAGTAATAGAGGTTAACTAACAGCATAAGGCCATTCATTTCCACGAAGTTTTTACCAAGGGATAATTAATCTCAATGTACAGAACATTGTCATCTTATTGCAGGGGTTCCATACTGTTGTCTCCTATCACAGAAGTTCCATACCTTCTCGGTGTTTTCTCATGGGCATCTCCTCAAAGCACTGACTCTTTCTTCTTCACAAAGCAGCCAAATGACTCCAGTTCCCTTCTTAACCACCCACCCCACTCTTTTATAACATCTTCTTCCCATTGGTTACAGCTGTGGCCTGTTAAAGTCAGGCCTGTTCCTAATCTTTGATAATTGGCCCAGCTGCAACTCCTTAGGGGTAAGATTCTTTCTACACTGTCTTTATTTTCTTATATTCTATCCCTCTACAAAATGTAGTCAAAGCCTTTTTTAATTCCCCAAGCAATTTATGTCCAGGGCATAACCCCAGCAGTGGAATTAGTAGACTACTATCAATCTGTAACTTGTAATACTTTTCCCATTGCTTTTAGTGGTGTTGGGTCTCTTTCTTTTGAGGTTCTGATTATTTCCAGTAGATTTGCATTCACTTTGAATTCTGCTAGACTTTCTTGTCCCATTTGATGTTCCACCGAAGAGCTGCAGTTCTGATACTGAGCAGTCATGTCCAATACTGGAAACACAGCAGAATTGCCTCCAGAAATACATGAGATTTAAAAAAAACCAAACACCTAAGAAGTACTTTAAAAGATTTTTGTGTAGGAAAGAGACAAAAATCTACTTCTCATACTATGCTTTCCTTTTGACTGGGGGAATCCACACCTAGTGACAAATGGAATTTTCTACTCCTTCACATGGTGGCTACTCGGTCTCTCTGCTTGATCCTGATGAAAGATAAATAGTTAATAACTGTAGCTATTTCTTGGTGATATGAAATGCTATCTAGTGATAATTCATATCATCAACACCTTTTACAGAGACTAGCTTTCATGATCAACATAGGTCAAAATCAAATTACAACCTAGATGTGAAAGGCAGGTTTCTGCTATCAAATCTGCGGGCCACTGGCTGGTTAACTCCTGCAATGCAGCACAGCCAGTTTATCTGGTATTGCAGCAGGTAATGCAAACTTGTAAATGTAAAACCTGCCTCCTCCCACCAAACTCCTGGTTATGCACTGGGGTTTGATCCTCCTCAGAATTTTTTAAATTAATTTGATTTGAATGAGAAAACAAATCCAGCTGCTAAAAGACCCAAGACTCTCCACCTACGTTGCCCACCACCAGAACATTTGTTTGATCTAATCAACACCTGCACTTTCAGAGAGCAATCTTTTAAGCAGTCAGTAAGAAAATGTATATGTATATATGTATGTATTTATGCAGCTGTCTCATTGTGACATTTGAACACTTCATCTCTTCTCAAAAAAAACCAACCAAACAACCAAAGCCAAACCAAACCAACCAACCAATCAAAAAAACTCCAAAGAACAGACAACAAAAAAACCCCAAAATCCCAAATAAACAAACAACAAAAACCCAAACAAACAAACAACCCAAAAAACCCACGACAGATCACCAAAACTTTATAAGATCTTCATTAAATGCTCCAAAATGTGAATATCCAAAAGAAATATTAGATGAAACTAAATCTTGGTCTCCTTTATTATATACTCTTAAGAGAAGACAGTATCTCAAAAACCTCCAGCCTTCCACTTTCTTAAAACAATTACAAGATGTGTATATTGGTGTGATAATTGATATGATTTTTTAAAGTGGTGGGAAAATTTGATACACCTTCAACTCAGGATGTCTGAAGTGCCCTTAAAATTTATCCAAATTTCAAAAACTGCTGAGCCTTTTCATGCACTGAAAAGACAGTATTTATCCTGTAAATTGTAGCATTTGTGCTTGGCCCATGCACATTTGAAAGTGCTTGTTTAAATTCTCAGTAATACCAGCAGAAATACAAGTCTGGATAATTTGTAAAAACACAGATTCTAATGACACCAGTTGTGTTCCCTGTTACCTTGGACAGAAAAGCAGAACAAAATGAAGCAGAACAAAAATTAGGCTGTTGTCCAGAGCTCAGTCATTTTTTGATTACTAGTCAGAATAATACACACCTAAGAAAATTACTTTGCTCTCCAGAAAAAGAATGTAGGAGATATTTTCAAGGATATAATCCAGATAATTCTTTTCTTTTGCAGCTCTTTAGCACCTATAGCAGTTTGTTGTCTCTCCCACTCTAAGATATACTATACATGTTTTCATTTTTCTTGGAATTGCTGTCTGATTGATCCACTTTGAGGCAATAGAAAAAACAAGGCTGCTTTTTCCTTTTGTTTTTTTTCCCCTTTTCCTTTACTTTAAACTATTCCAGTACAGAGCATATGTATTGTTTCCTTTGGAACTTCCTGAGAACTAGTTCAGGACATTTATCATTCTGTGACACTGCTAAACCTGAAACATTCATACTTTCAGTGTGAAATTAGATAATATTCAGATGGTGATTTGAATTTGCTGCTGAACACTCTTACCTGTGATTTTTTTCAGCTGATGGAGATTTCATAGCTCTTTGCCTCTGAGTTAAATACATGAGTAGAAGCAATGAGGATGGGTGGAGACTGTCAGTAAAACAGGAGTAGGGAAAACAAGGAAAAAAAATGTGAATCCACCAGATTCTTAACTCAGTTTTCATTCTACCATTAAAAACAATGTTGACCTAACAAGCTTTATTTTATTTTATTTTATATAAAAATAATAGCCTATTCTAGATTGGGACTTTGGGGTCCACCATGTGAATGCTGCCTTGCAGTGCTCTGCTGTTCTCCCTGCTGCTTCCAGCCTTCACTCTTGTCCCTGTGGGGGAAATGAAAAAAAACTAACATTTATTCAAAAGCAGTATAAATACCCACCTATGTGGCATTTGAGGGACCCTCAAGTGACAGCAGGAGCCCTGAAACCACTATGAAGGGAACAGAAGTGGCAGCCAGGGGAAAAGGAAGGGGAGGGATGGGGTAAAAGATGAGATGGAGGGAAAATGCAGTCCAAGTAGACACTGGAGAAAAAGATGCAGCTCTCCTAGGAAACAAGAAGCAGATGAAAACAGGGAAACAAAGGAGCAAGGAACACTGGTTTTCCTGCCTGATATACTTTACTAAAACCAGGACCACATCTCATGTTTGCAAAGATTAGTCCAGACCCTCCTGTTCCCATAGCATCCCTGGTCACTGCTTTAACACATTCAGCTTGCTCAGGTATCTGATTTCTGAGTCCTTTGTGTTGGACAGTGATAAGCTGATCAGCTTTAAGGACTAAACAGTGTTATATGCCTCACATTATTATCCTAGTGTGAATA